TGTCGATCCAATTTTGAATAAAATTTTTTACCATTTGGGGGGGGGGGGGGGGAGTGGAGAAACCGCGTTTGGAGCATCAATTTAGTCGACTGATACATTTTTGTAATGTTTTCTGAAAACTCTTTTCCTCGCGAAAGTAATACTTTCTTTCTTATTAACCCAGAAAACAAAAAATCTGCCGTACAAAATATTTCAACTACAGAAATTGCGGTATTTACAGTTTATATTCAACTGAAAACAAAAACATAATTTTGCAACGAAGAATTCTGTTCTGTGCGGCTTTTTGCGTTAAGAGCTGAATCCTTTCTGACGTTTGATCCAACGTGTCCATTTTGTTCCTCGGAGCCCGAGACCGAGAAGCCCTGTCCGGCCGAGAAGAGTTGATGACAGCCGACCTGAATTTCACGAACACTACTCGAGTCGTCGGCAAATGTGTTCACGAGGTTGCTGTTTTGATTTTTGTTGTCGGATGAGTTGTTTGAGTTCTGAGGGGACGCGGCAGATTTGAGAGAGATGGGAATGGCACAGTTTGAGGCGAACGAGGCCAGACAAGACACCTGAGAAAAAAATACAATTTTATTATTTTTAAAACGGGCATTAAATACACGAAAAACTCGAGAGCAACTATCTCGTGTTTGGAAAATCTCGCTCTCATGTGTTTACCTGAGCTCATATACTCTCGTGTTTTTCATGTGTTTTTACTTGAAATACGAATCAAGTGAGCATTTCTTGTCTGAAAACACGTGAACATTTTTAAGAGTGCAGCTACCAATTTATTTTAAAAGCCTCGTCATATTTTACTCTCATCATATCGGATATATTAAGAACATAAATACAGTCCAGTGAACATGAATGCAAGTTATCCAAACCACATCGATAACTTGTTTTGCAAAAAAAAAATCTTTTTTACAGCTCTTCAGAAAAAACGATTTTGATGAATAATAGAAATGTTTCCGTTCAGATTTTCTGAGACAACTCTGTTTTATTTTCTAAAATACTCTGGTTCAGCCACTGGCTCTTTTGACCCGAATTGTTCAAGTGAGCCCCCCCCTGCTACTCACGGCCTTGTTGTGTTGCACGGGTAGTATTGTAGGCGTGGTGGGTGGGGCAGTAAACTCAGTTGAGATGGGGTTGAGAGCGGGGGAGGGGAAGGAGAGGAGGGTGCCGCAGGAAGTCCCCACCACCATCTGGTCACAGAAGGGGGCCACACACGTGACACTGGGCTCTTCCAGAAACTAGATAAATTATAAGTTCAAATTACAACTTCAATATCATTGAGCAAATCAATTAGGAATATGTTTCGCAGTATCATCAGAATAAGATGAAAAAGAACTAAAAACTATTAGTTTTTGGCTTAAAATAGTCTTTAGTTTAAGGAAACTTTCAAATATGGCAAGGGTGAACATCTTCAGACAAACTTTTCTCATGACAAGTTTTCCGGCAAAATTAAAAGCAGCAGAATGAATTCAGTACAAAAAAAAGGAGGGCGGATTTTCAACAAATTTTGTTGAGTTTTTTCTAAGTCGACCACATTGATTTTCTGAGCTCTACCAAAGGGGGCGTTCAACATTGCCGAAAATGAAAAAGTGTTTAACAATGGGGAAAATTGATGATTTTCGGCACTGTTGAACAATAAATTTATTTTCGGCACTGTTGTGTTGCCATTAGAGGGGCGTTCAACCGTGCCGAAGCAGAGTGCAGAAAATGAAGTTATTATTCAACAGTGCGAAAAATCATCACTTTTCGGAACTGTTGAACACTTTTTCATTTTCGGCACTGCTGCACTTTGGCACTGTTGAACTGCCCCCTCCCAAAGCACTAAAAAAACCTTGTTTTGGCCATATTTTGTCAAATTTTTTGAAAAAACATGCCAAAAAAAGCGTTTTTAACTATTTTTGGAGTTTCGAAAAAAAAATTGCGTTTTTTTGGCGCGCTTCCCCCTCAAAAATTAGCGCGCTCCCGGAGCCCCTTATAGAAAAACTTTTGGGCCAGGCAGCCAAAATTGGAGGGTTCAAAAAAAGTACCAAGGGGGGGGGGTCAGGGGGGCGTCCTAAATCCCCTACTGCCTCCAATCATATGGCTAATCAAAAAATTCGAAAAAATAAGGCTCTTTTTCATTTTCCCACCACCAGCAAAATTTTTTTAACTCAAATTACTGTTCACATTGTCCAATTGTCATGAAAATTGACATGCAGACTAATTAGACCATGGCAAACATACTTGATCTTCATAATCAACCTTGTAAAACCACACCTCCGACCATAAAATTGATGCTTGTGTGAGGTGGGGGTGGGGGGGCCGGCGAAGGAACAAGAGCCAAAAATAATTATCTATCCTCATGCTTTAGAGGGTTTTATCCACCTGATCGTATGTGGTGGTTGCTTCTCTGAGGGTATTATGTAAGTCCACCTCTGCCACGTGTTGGAACAGGACGGAGTGGAATAGTTTCAGTTTGGTGCTGTTCCCCAGTGCCACCCACACACCGAAGCTAGCCCCCGCCAGACTCCGGATACAACTGTCCTCCCCACAGATGCGCAGTGCGAGCTGCAAATTGAACAAGAAACACGCGTGAAAAATCTATTTCAGTTTTCTAATGTAATTATTGCAAGCCGATAAATTTCGATAATTGACGGTTCAATACTTTTAATGTATCTTTCATGTTTTTTAATGAACGTATGTTTGCATCATTTTTATTTTAAAATTTCAAGGTTAGGAGCTGAAGTAAAAATTTAAGGAAAACTTCGGTTATTTTTTGGCAATTGGTTCCATTTGTTTGTAGAAAGAGGTCAAAAAATGCAATAGTGCAGTGTTTTAGTTAAATTTTTGATATTTTTGAGATTTCTCAATTTTTGCAAGCACAACTAAACCAATATTAAACAGTTTACCTTCTCAGTAAGATCACAACACTGAATAACAAACAACGTATTATGAGACGCCGCCCACAATTTGTCACCAGCTACCAACAAACACTTCACAGGGTGAGTCGACATCTGCAGAACATCCGAAGGACCCTCTATCGTATGCAGCTCGACTCCCGCTATCTCAAACACGACAATTTGACCATTTTCTAGACCCACATACACGTGTGTGAATGTGTACTCTAGACATGTAACTGCAGATCGCAAATCTATTTCACGTATGCACATAAACAATGGTTTGGAGGGTGCTTGCGGGTGGGATAGTTCATCGATGCTGTTGTTGTTTATTTCTGTTGTTACGGTTCTTATTGCTGTTGTCGAGGAGTTGCAGTTCGGATATATGAAGATGCGTAACCTATAAACATTTTTGTAAATTATAATTTGCCAATTTTGGAGGCCAGAACTGTTTGTGGAATCCATCAACAAATATATAATTATCATGAGTTCAGTGGATCCCGCAATCCCGGAATCTGTATTTTGTCAGCAGAATTTGATTTATGTGAGCGGAATCAGCTCTCATTTGTCGAATCCTCCTACAATTTGGTGAACCCACTTACTAATGCGGAACCCGCAACAACTTGATATTTTTACTCGTTGCGGATTCTGCTATCTAATATATGTAACAACGAATTTTACGCTGCAATTCTTTTCGAACTTTTAATTTTTTATATTTTTTTTCGAAGCAAAACTAGTTAACACAAAATCATCGGAATGGGCCGAGTGATATATCATAATAAGACCCTTTCAGTCCTGATGTATTCGACATTGCCCAAATGTTGTCTGGATGTCGAAAAAACCTCAGTTTGAAGTTTTTTGAATTTTAGTCAATTTTAGAGCAAATAAAGCCAGCCAGTGGGCGTACAATAGGAGAGTACGTCTTTTTCGGTCGTTAAAATTTAGTTTTACACCAAAAAATTTGTTTTTGAAGCTACTTTTAGCGCCTTCTTGAGAATAATTTGTTTTGTTTTCTATTTGTTTTTCGACTGAAACTGTTGTCCAGTTTAGTAAATCTGTTCAATTTACTATTACTATCGAATAGGCCTAAATTCTAATCTTCAGTTCAGTTCTTATCAGATCTTACCGTGGTCAGAAAACGACATACTTCGAAAAAAAAACTTTTTTTTAAATTTTTCATAATTGTTGTCCGATTCTACTTACTCATGAACTGCCTATCCTTATCATTTAAACCATTTGAAATTTGGGAGGAGCTTTGTATTTGGGTGTGTTTTCGTTTTTTTTTTTTTTTTAGTTTTCCATGCAAAGTCAGCAACCACAAATAAGCATCGGAGAGAGTTGAGTGATATATCATATTAAATCCCTTTCAGTCAGGATTCGGTTTGAAAAACCGGTTTGAAATTTTCATATTTTGCCTAAATTTGAGCAAGTAAAGCGAGCCAGCACGCTTTTTCATGCTTAATTTAGGCCGTTTAGAATAGCTTAATTATGCGTAATTCTACTTTTTTAATTTATCTCAATCTTAAGGCTTTTTTTTTAAAAAAATTATTTTTTATTGGCGTTTTTCTTCATTGTTCTTCATAAACGGTTGTCCTGTTTGCCTATACTACAATGATTTTCGAATATGCCTAAGTTTTAGTGTTGCGTCAAATCCTTAATCCTTTTATAATACCACGCAGAAAAAATCTACACTAATTCGAAAAAACATATATATTATCGTAGGTTTTTAAAAACGATTGTCAGAACATTCTGCCCTACTTGCACAGTAACCGGCTATCCTTGTTCTATGTTTGATTTTGTTGAAATTCGTACCAATCTTTTAAAACATTTTAAACATTTAAAACAAACAGATGTTTAAAGGTTTAAAACAATGTGAAGATTTTTGAATGTTACGAATCAAGTAAAGCTTTCTTAGCAAAATAGGGTTTTTCACACGAATGTTTTTATTGTGTGAAGTGATTCGATATACAGAAAAATTATGTATTTTACACATTTTTAGGATCACACGATAACTTGTTGGATACATTTTTAGGATAAATTTTCAGAATGTACCTTCCATCCGGTCCACCAACCCACAAAGAGGGTATCCCTATGCTGGTACAGCTGATCAGCTGTGGACTGCTGTCCTCTTCTAAGCTGGAAGACGTTTCCTGTTCCAGAGGGGGGAAGGAGGCTCTGTTGGGATTGAAGGAGAAGTACTTGTCCGAGTAGGTATGCGATTGTCCACTGGCATTACTCTGGACTGTAAAAAAATATAATTTTTTCAGTCGAACTTTGACATGTGTTGGACCTGCCTCGGTCAAAACATAAATCGCAAACCTCGACCCATGTATTGTTCCTTCTAAGTTTTTTTTTACGATTTCTCGTATCATGGCCAAGTCGAGCCCTAAACAACCCAAATGCCCTTAAATATGACTAAATTTATCATACAGTTTTTCCCCTTGTGCGATGGCATGTAAAGGGGAATATAATTTGGGTTAATAACTTCAATTATTGTTTCAATTTAGTTTGGACTAATTTTTAGCTGGATTTTTTAGCCCGCCATTTAACGCGCTGATTGATAATCGATAAAAACGGAAAAGTTGCGCAATTTGGCACTTTAAATTTAATTAAATGACAATACGTTTCAAACCACCATAGCTACAAGAAAAAACTATTGGGTGATTTTTTTTGGAAAAATGAACCTAGGTTGTCAAAAATTAATAACAGCTAGCAAAAAACAAAACTTTTTGTAGAGAAGCAAGCAATTGTAGAGAAGCAAATCAGTATAAAACCCCATTTTGACCAAATTTTTTGCGCCGCAGCCAATCAGGCCAAAAAAGCGTTTTTAGGCACTTTTTTGAAAATTTTGGACAAATAATCGCGTTTTTCGGCGCGCGCTCCCCCTCAAAATTAGTATATTTTGGCGCCCAAGGCGCTTTTAGATAAATTTTAGGGTCAGCCAACCAAAAAGGGATATCTCAAAATAGTACAAATGGGGCCGGCAGGGAGTCGAATCCTTGAGGGAGGGAGGAGAGCGTCCCCCCTCCCCCAAATCCTCTGGTGGTTATGAGGGTTAATTGAATGATTCGTAAAAAAGCAACAACAAAAAATGATTGGCGCGTTCTTAGTTGATAGTACTAATCAGTGTCAAACTGACTGGAATTGTAATAGAACTAATGCGTGCAGTTTTTGTCGAGAATAAAAAAAACTATGCCACTTTTGAAACAAAAAGTAACAAACTAAGTCTCTTTTTTGTTTTACGCATGACGGGAAAACTCAAATGTTCTTATTTTTTTTTTCAATTGATACGAAGAAGAAAAAATATATCCTTTGATGGTGAGTTTTTTCTTGAAATTATTGATATAACAATTTGAACCAAACAAGAACAAAAAAAACAAACTGACCAAAAAATGACCAAAAATGACCAAAAATGACCAAAAAATTGCGTTGTTTTTGGGCGCGCTACCCCATCAAAATTAGTCATATAGGCGCCAAAGGCGCCCTTACTGAAACTTTTAGGTTTTTCACCGAAAAATGGATGTCATAAAGTTATACCAAATATATTCCAACTGCATATGAATGATTTTGCATAACTTTCGTAACTGTTACATAATTGATAACTATTACATAACACCTACGCATTTTTGGCTGGATGATACTTCGGCTGATTTATATACCACCACTTACAACTACTGTCGATATCTGAGGCGCTGTCCATGTGCATGTTTTCGACTGTGCTTCTAGCCGATTTCCACGATTCTGATGTCTCCCTACCAGATTCTTTTTGACAATCTGTACAAAATTCTATTTAAAAGTTATTGTTGGACCAGATCGCAAAAGCTAATAATTTTTTTAGGGGGGGGGGGAGGGGAGGGGAGGGGAGGTAAATGGGGCAAACGGGCGGTTTGCTTTGGGTAAATTAAGAAGGTGGGGAGGCTTAACACGGGGAAAATAAACGGGGCGAAGGGGTAAACATGAAAGGAGAAAAAAAGGTAGGGGAGATTAAGCAGACGCTATAAATTTGAGTAGGTTTAGAATTCGAGTAGGTCGTAAATACGGCAAAAAATGTTGCAAGTTTTACAGATAATTTGCAAAAATTGATCAGATAATAATATATTATAATCCATTATAATGGATTTTAATGGATTATAATATATTTTAGTTTTCTGAAAAAATGCATCACAATGGATTATAATTGATTGTGTAGTCACAAAGTGTAACAAGACTGCTCGTATCAGGGCAAAGCCCTGAATGTTCCAACTGCCTTTTAAGGTTTATGGAGCAGTAATAACATTAAAAAATCAATGAAATAAAACAAAATGAAAACTTTTTTTTCTAAAACTTAAATTTTTTTAATGAAAATCATCCCCCCACGCCATATAAAGTACAAAAGGATAGATTTCGCTCTTTGTAACAAACCAATTATGGCAAATAAGCTTCTTTTAGCCAATTTGGAACGATTTCTAAGACGGATTAAATCTCCGCTTACTCGTTAATAGCGCGCATTATATCGCGCGTTAATTGTCCCAAATTGGTCAAAATGGCCAAAATTGCAATCTTTAAACCCTCATAACTTCACGAAAAATGATCACAGGTAAAATAACTTTTCAAATTTAAGCTCAGGACAACAATACCTTCTGAATGATATTAAAAAATTCCGTCAAAAATGGCTAGTTAAAAAGTCGAAATTTGTCTGAAGAAAAAAAAACCCACCTCGAGCACAAATATTCCGTTACTTTCGTATCGAAAGTCGGAACAATTATAATCAATTATTTTGGCAACATTTTGACCACGAAAATCGTTTCTATTCGATTATTATCCCTGGAACCTCACTGCGAGTAAGTCATTTTGAAAAACGAGAGAACATTTTTGTTGCTCAATATATGCTTATTTACACGTTTCAATACAGAATAGAACATTTTAAAATCTAACTTATCCAAAAACTAGTAATGTTAATGTTTTTTAAAATTATTGTGATCGAAACATTCTGAACAATGCAACCGTCAGCTTTTTTGTTTTTCTCATACTTTTTCCACGAAGATTTAGCAAATTTGATTTAGCGAGCCTCTGAATCAGGAACCGCAAATAATTCAGTATTGGCTGAGTGATATATCCCATTAAAGCCCTTTATTATCATGATTCGGATCAACCGTACAATTCCCCCTCCCACTAATCAAATTACGGGGGGGGTGGAATATAGATTTTTTTATAAACTAATTTTGAGAATAGCCTTGAAAAAAAATTGCCTATTTGTTACTGAAAAAAAATTAAATTGAAACAATAATCTAAGCAATTACCAGTAATATAAATGCAATCTCGTGAACAACAATGTAGAAATCAATTTTGGAGTCTACGGTACGTCACTTTGGGGGGGGGGGGGATTGTACGGTTGATCCGATGAAACCTGCCCAAATGTTTCATGCCCGCTTTGCACTCAAAAACTGAAAAAGTCAGAAAAAAATCATATGTGAGAAAAAGAACTTTTTTATTTTTTTTTGTTTTCTTTTTTACTTGGGAACGACTGTGGTAGTCACTTATAGCTAACGCTACAACCTAAACGTGCTTTTAGACCCTCTCCTCACTCCTTGGACAAAAAAAATCACTGATACTTTTCACTCTTATTATCTCGAACCTTGGCTTTGACTGTTCCTTGTACTGTCTAAAGACTCGTTCACAGTTCCTCCGCCTCGATTGCAACTGTCGAAACTTGTTCCGAACTCGTCCTTCCGATCAGTGGACTGGTCCTCGTCCGAGTCGAAACTCAACTGAGATCACTGGGTTGGGAGCCAGACAACAAGACGATTTGATTGGCTGAGACACAGCCAGTGAGGTTGCAGTAACAACGCATGGTTTCATTTTTTCAACCGATGAGTCACGTCTAAAAAGATCATTAGAAAGTTTATCTATTTTTACAAAAAATATTGGCATAGCTCGAATGCGCAAAAAAATATACAAGTAGAAACGAAAAACAATTTATGATTCATTTTTCTCTAAATCTCAAAAAATTAGGCTTGCAATATGAGCGAAACTGAAACTGCGGTAGAAAATCATTCATTTATTACTATGCAATGGATATCAACCTGATTTTCGAAAACGACGTATAGCTCTGGACGCCCTGGTTAACTGGCGAGCAAGCAACTACCGAGTTTCTCGTTGCCTCGCTACTTTGATCGTCATAGATATCGGTCCCAAACTGCGGACTAATCGCCACGGCACACGTGACCGGAAAATCCAAGTTCAAAATGTGTTCACATGCATCTTTTTCAGCGTCTTCTGAACAATTTGCGTTTCCTAATGACCAAATTTGAGAAGATATGCTGTCACTTTGAAGTATCAAAACTTCATCTCCAATTTTGAAAAAAGACACTATTTTCAGTTTTCCTGCCTGTGACGATGAAAGTGCTGTGTTTTTATTCGGGTTGAAAGTTGAGTATTGTTTTGAAAATTGAGAGCTTTTGCACGGAATTGGGATAGAGAATTGCAACTTTGGAATCGGAAATAGTTTGCTGCGTTCATCTGGTTTGAGTTCTTTGAATTTCTTCACCCATATCGCACGGATTTCCTTCGATTGAAACATCAAGGTCAGATTTGTCTCTTCAGTTGAGCCTCTAAAAATTCAAATGCAAGCTATTACTTTTTGTTATAAATGGATGCGATTGTTTTTTCGTATACAGCCTTTTTGCGATTTATTGGGAGACGGCTTTTGCAATTTAGAGCGATGACTCTTTTTCAGTTTCCGACCCCCTCGTAAAATTACGAGATAAAGTTTTAAAAAATGTTCATTCGCATTCAAAAAATGATTTAAAAATTTGTACTCTTGTTCACGCTTATACGCTTTATTGCAGTTTAGAACATCAAAATGCAATTTTAAAAGAATTTTGTAAAATATACTTCTGAAAAAATCAAAAGGGGTTTGGGGGAGGGGGGTTTTAAAAGAGCCGAGGCGCTTTTTATGAAAAAAAAATCTAGCTTGATGAGGATGTTTAGTTTAAAACATTGAAACACTTCAAGTTCTTATCGGTGTAAAGACAATTGTTTCTTACTCAGTGTCTTGGATGATCTGCAGGTCGATGTAGTTTGTGGTGAGGTCCAGAGTCTCAACCATCTGCAGTTCACTCAGCTGGTCATCCACCTTCTGAAGGGCAGAGCGAGCATGTTCCAACAGACCCTACAGCAACACAAAACAACATTATAATTAGTAGCAAACAGTTCGGACAGACAAAAATAATTTAAAAGAGGAATTGACCTTTTTCAGACAACTTTTGCATGCAAAAGCTAATTTTTTAGGCAGAAAGTATGTCTCAATGTCACCTAAAAACTCAAATTTTTATACAAAAATTGCTGAAAATTGGTAGATTGGTCTTTTTAATTATTTTTATTTGTCCAAATTTTTTGTAACTCTCTAAATTCGAACGAGAATAATATTTATGGAGAAAACATTTAGAGTATCAGAATTTTTTCAGAAGGAATATTAGATGCATAAATAGGTCTTTCTTTGTTTTATTTAAAAGAAGTGTTTGTTTCGGTTTTGCTAAATTCGATCTATATTTTTTGGGGGTCAATGATGCAAAAATATTGTCACTGCCATCAGAAAAAAAATTAGAAGCGATAAATCAAATAAAAATTTGATAAATTTTTCTCAAAATTCGCAGGGTTCAGTCCAAATTAAAACATTAACCTTATGAGAGCACTTAGATGTTAACAAGTTTTGATGGTTCCTTACGTAATTTTTGAAGAACAATCCATCTGCCATGGATATGATCTCATTCAACTTCCGTGCATCCTGCTCTAATCTAGGCGCCGCCGCCCTACAGTGGTTCAAAAAAGTAACACTGTCCATTTTGGACTGAATCGTGTTACTCCTCTTAAGAGCTGCAGAAAACTCCGTCTTTTTCTCTCCCATCCCAGAAAATTGCAGTGAGTTACTTTTCGGCTTCGAATTGTAACTTGCATGAATGTTTTCGCTGTTTTTCTGGGCATTGTTATTGTTGTTGGGAGTGTTGGCTGTTGCTGTGGTCGTTGTGTTGTTGCTTGTTGGGTTCTGGGGGGTTTGGTTACTGGGGGGCTCGGCTAGGGTGAGGTTTTTGATGTAATAGCACCATTTGATTTTGTAGAATGAGAAGGGATCGAGGCCGCTGATGCTGCTAAAACATGATATCAGATACGTTTACAAATGCTTACAGCTTGATTTCTTCAATTTGCTGCAAAGAAAAAAAGAATGTGAAGAAAAAAGAAACAAGATTAGCTGTTTCATGCGCAAGGACCACCGAAGCTTCCGAATGCCGTTGCGATCTTGACACAAATTTTGAAGAAAAAACAAGTTAGAAACTCTTCAAAAAAAGCAACTTCGGTGTTCAAAACAATTAGCTGCAACAAAAAATGCTTCAGTTTTTGAAACAAACCAGAAGAATTTGTTTTAAATCTGTTTATCTACAAAATTCTGGAGGAGTAAAGCTTTTTTGCAAAGAACCTTGATTGAATAAACGGAAAATTGTCAAAGTTTCGACCAGAAATTTTTGTCAAAGTAGGGTTCTTATAGTGCTTTGGGAGAGCTCTGAAAGTCAATTTTGTCGACTTAAAAAAAGGTCGACAAAATTTTCGAATTTTTTTTGAAAATCTACCCCCTCAAGAAACTCCTAGATCAAGACAAAAAAAATAAATTAAAAGCAGTATTTAAGAACTTCATTTATCCAATTTCCTGTGAAAATTTGCCACACAGGAATCTGAGTTTTTCAAATGGCCAGGGTTAAGGTTACAGCTATCTTGCTATATTTATATGCTGCTTCGCAGAAAACCTATTTGCATAGAATGACTTTTATCAAAAAGTAGAGACTGATAAAAAAGACAGAAAGATGAGAAATTTATACCACTTAAACGATCCTGAAGGAGGTAACTTTCATTCGTCTTTCGCATTCAGTTTCAATTATCACTATGTAATTATTTTATACTTTTTTTCAGAAAACAACCACTATATATTTAGCGCTTCAAAAATCTTGGAAGCCTCAATCTGGTCTTTTTTATTCAATTTTGTTTTTGAAAAAACCATTTTGGGACCCTTCAGGGCTCTGTTTTCAGACCTTTGCTTTTATGATAGATTTCCTAGTATATGATTTTCCATATTATATCTCATTGAATGTCTTTTTATTCCAAAATATTTTTGACACACTGATTGAAATTACAGAAATAAGAAAAAAATGGAAATTCGATCAGAGTAGAAGGAAAAGGAATAAACTTACAAGCAAACAAAAAAGAGGATTTGTAATCACCAGTGGTTCGAAAAAAGCAAATATTACGTGGAGGGAAAACTCAATATGCACTGTGAAAACTTTAATTTTCGATAATTATATTGCAGTTTGGAGTGAAATTTGTAGTTTTTCATTATAAAAAAAATTGCGATTCAACTGTTTTACTTATTGCGATTGTTTCTTTAGTTCAAAGAACTCGTGAAAACCATGCAATCAATTCATTTGAGTTTTCTATCAAACGCAACAGTTTCTCATTTCATCTGCATTAATCAAAATTAACGAGCTTTTTTAGCCCCTATCTCAATATGGTATTTCGTTTTTCATAGTCGCTTTAAAACTGCGTCAAAAAAGTACAAACCAAACAACAATTTTTTTGAATCGGACTTCATTACTAGACAGCAAAAAAACTAGACAGCAAAAAAAAAATACTCGGCATTTGTTTAGTCAATGAGTTACGCTTCACGTCTACAAACGATAAAAAATGTTTCTAAATAACTTTGACAAGAGCATGAAAACAAAATTGAAATAGACCAAATCAAGATTTGATTCCAAAATCACGCAATGACACTCTAAGATTCTCTAATTAAATTCAATTTGAATATCAAAATAAATCTAAAAACACCCCAACAAGAACTGAAGAATTTAAACGTAGAGGAGAAACATTTATTTGATTGAGAGTGACTATTTAATTAAATTTTTGGTAAAAAACAAGAAAAAACAAAACTTTTTCGCATTAAACACTAAAAAATAATAGTTGAGAGTAAATAACTGAAATTTAACTACAAAAATTATTTATTTAAAAATTGTCAAATTTTTAAGCGTACTTTTTGTTATTAAAGCGCTAGCTATAACCACGCCAGCTAACAATGACATTTGAAATTAAATTTATAAGATAGTTCTCAATCGAAAAATTTTATTAGCGCTTTAGGACGATGAATTACATCGGCGCTCGCTCAAGTTGGCGCTTTTCGATTGGAGCATTTTCTACACTTTTGGAGTACAACGCAGTTTGAAAAATTAGAATTTTTTTCTTTCGGACTCTATTTGTCGAATTGAGACCGAAAATACCAAAAAAAATTGCACTGTGTCTCTCAGTATCCTTCAAATACAAAGAAGATCTCACTAATAGGTTTTTCGAACATCTTTTTCTAAGGCGTTTTCTTCGGATTTGTTCTTTTCGGTGATGTGCGTTCATACAACACTTATAATCAAGAAGACATTTATTTGTACAAAACTTTCGTTTCCAGTGTGCGTTAAGATGCAAATGTTGACTATCTCAATGAACAAAATACAAAAACGGCTGAACTACTTGTCGATTATATCAGCAAAAATTTTGATTTTGCAATGAATGATTAGGCGCTGCAAGATTGGCTGCAGATCTTCTTACACTTTTTTAAATCAAGTAATAATGAAAAACCGTTAAAATTTTGTTTAAGTTATTCAAACTTTACACTTTTTGACTAGCGTGAGCTGTTTTATACCATCTTATACGTTTTTCGTATAGATAATGAGCTTCGTACTTGTGACTGGCTATCTTGCATGATACATCATCTCCATTCCTATCAAGCTATCTAGTTAATTCTTAAAACTTCTTACAAAATATGGAATTTAGTTTTTAAGCTGGGTGAATTTCCTTGTCGCAGTTATACGGAAATTTCAAAATTTTTGCAAAATTTTTTCTCAATGGAAATGATTTTATTTTAAGTTTTAGCTATAAGAGATTGTTTCTCTTGCAAATTTTGAATGTTCTTTCACATCAGATTAATTAGAAGATATTACGAAATGTTCTATTGAAAAATATCTAATATTGCTAAAGACTCCCAAGATAATACAAAAGTCGTGCAAAATTGAATAGCTTTGAATGGCAAAATCTTGGATATTGTTGTGAAAATCCTACGAGAGTCAGGCAAAATTATTTCAAAACTTTCGCAAGATTGAATAACTTTTATAAAAATATCCTGTTAGATTTTGTGGAGATTGTTTTTCTTGTAAAATAAACATAAGAGTGCCTTTTTTTAAAGAAAGAAATTATTTCAACTGCAATTAAATTATGTTCATTATTGGCTGTTGATAGTTTTCATTTGCAATTTGCCATTTTTTAGTCGAGCTTGTTTTTGTTTTTCTGTTAGCGTGTAGTATAGGCGGCTGAAGATAATGTTACCCAAAAATAAAATCAATCGAATTTGAAATTAAATGAGCGATATGGCCCGAACAAAGCATCAAAAGACGCAAAATACATCAATTTGAATTTTTGACGGTTGTAAACATTAAAAAAGAAAGACTGCTCGTATCAGGGCGAAACCCTGAATGTTCCGACTGCCTTTTAAGGCTTATGGAGCAGTAATAACATTAAAAAATTAAATGTACAAAAAAACACAAGAAAATTTTTTTTTTCTAAAATTTGAAATTTTTTATGAAGCTCATCGCCCCACACGCCATATAAAGAAAAAAAGGATAGATTTCGCTACTTGTAACAAATCAATTATGGCAAATAAGCTTCGCTAAACCAATTTGGAACGATTTCTAAGACGGATTAACTCTCCGCTTACACGTTAATAGCGCGAAATATATCGCACGTTAATTGTCCTAAATTGGCCAAAATGGCAATCTTTAAACCCCCATAAGTTTACAAAAAATGATCACAGATGAAATATCTTTTCAAATTTAAGCTCAGGACAACAATAATTTTTGAATGATATAAAAATTTTTTGTCAAAAATGGCTAGTTAAAAAGTCGAAATTTGTCTGAAGAAAAAAAAACCCACCCCGAGCACAAATATTCCGTTACTTTCCAGTGTGCGTTAAGATGCAAATGTTGACTATCTCAATTAACAAAATATAAAAATGGCTGAACTACTTGTCGATTATATCAGCAAATTTTTTGATTTTGCAATGAATGATTAGGCGCTGCATGATTGGCTGCAGATCTTCTTACACTTTTTCAAATCAAGTAATAATGAAAAACCGATAAATTTTTGTTTAAGTTATTCAAACTTTACTCTTTTTGACTAGCGTGAGCTGTTTTATACCATCTTATACGTTTTTCGTATAGATAATGAGCTTCGTACTTGTGACTGGCTATCTTGCATGATAGAACATCTCCATTCCTATCAAGCTATCTAGTTAGTTCTTAAAACTTCTTAAAAAATATGGAATTTAGTTTTTCAGCTGGCTGAATTTCCCTATCGCAGTTATACGGAAATTTAAAAACTTTTGCAAAATTTTTACTCAATGGAAATGATTTTATTGTAAGTTTTAGCTATAAGAGAGTGTTTCTCTTGCAAATTTTGAATGTTCTTTTACATCAGAACAGTTAGAAGATATTACAAAATGTTCTATCGAAAAATATTTAATATTGCAAAAGACTCCCAAGATAATACAATAGTCGTGCAAAATTGAATAGCTTTGAATGGAAAAATCTTGGATATTGTTGTGAAAATCCTACGAGAGTCAGACAAAATTATTTCAAATTTCTCGCAAGATTGAATAACTTTTATCGAAATATCCTGTTAGATTTTGTGGAGATTGTTTTTCTTGTACAATAAACATAAGAATGCCTTATGTTTAAGAAAGAAAATATTTCAACTGCAATTAAATTATGCTCATTATTGGCTGTTGATAGTTTTCATTTGCGATTTGCGATTTTCTAATCGAGCCTTTTCTTGTTTTTCTGTTAGCGTGTAGTATAGGCGGCTGAAGATGATGTTACCCAAAAATAAAATCAATCGAATTTGAAATTAAATGAGCGATATGGCCCGAACAAAGCATCAATAGACGCAGAATACATCAATTTGAAATTTTGACGGTTCTAAACATAAAAACAAAAAAAGGTTTTGATTGTTGTTTGCGGGAAAAACAACTTTACCAACGAATGTTTTGACACTTTAAATCATTTCAACAAAAAATCGTAACATTTTTTTATTAATTCAGTCTTTTAACATAATGTTTTGAGAAGTACTGTCCGGTTTTAATTACTAGCTAATGCAAGCAATAAAATAGTTGAAAAATTAAGTAGAGTCGGATAGCGTTTATGGACCAACTCTTTGTATAGCTTTTTCACTACCCTGTGGTACATTAGTCTGAAAATCAACAAAAAACAAACTGTTTGATTGGCTTCAAATGACGTTCAAATGATACCACTCTTGAATTCTTGAGGGCTTTTATCCTGCCTAAAACTTCGTCAAATATACTCCGGGTCAAGACTCTACTTTTTTTCGAGACTAGACAAATTAAACATAGCCAATAGGTAGTTGGAAAAGAGGCGATGAAAACAAAACAAAAATTGAATAATGACTTATTTTTGAAAAAATCTCACTTTTCGAATTTCAATAATAAAAACAGATACCCCTAAAGCTCTGAAATCTAAACTTAAAAATGAAACTTTTTTTGCGATATGAGACACTTTTTTCGTCCGGATTTTTTTGAATGAGAACTTTTGTTATGATGGTATTTGTCGTTATGACATTCATGGTAATATGATTTTTGTCATTATGACAATTATGAGTGTTTAAGACTGGGCGATTCTGTCCCCCCCCCCCCCGCGATATTATGATGTTATGATATTTGATTTTATGACATTTTTTCAAATGATATAATTTTTGAAAGTGCTCTTAGAATCAGAGAGCTGGTAGCGTCATTACCAATTACTGGAGGCTTTGCGTGCAGCTGCGGCCGCCGAGGACGATGAGTGTTGACGTCTGGGCTTGGCGGCCAGTCCGAATATCATGTCATTGCACAATAGCAGCACCCTCTCACGCTTGCTGAATAACTTCGACTGGAATCGGTTCGTCTAAAGGTCACAGATAATTTCAGGAACATTTCAAAAAAGCATGAATAATTCTCCTTAATGAGTAAGGCGACGTCTTGGTGTCTATAATCGAATAATCTTTAAGAACATTGAATTTTCATACATTCGTGCAATTTTACTTATGTTTATTTGGATCTCTATTTTCCCCCTTTTGCAAAAAGGAGGATAATCGTTACTAGGTACAAAATCGCACATGTAAAATTATAAAACTTTTTAAATCATAGAGGTGGCAATTCATTACAGGAAACCAAAGGGGGAAATAGTGAAAGTGATCACTTTCGTTCGTCTAGGGGAAACATAATCCAGCAATCTCCGTTGTGTGAGATTTTGCTGAGTATCTGCTTTGCTGAGTTGCTCCGAAGGCTCCGACACCAAAATTTTAAGGCTCCGACACCAAAAATGGATGTCTCAAAATAGTACAAAAGGGGGACCCTTTGGGTCGACAGGGGGTCGATTTCCAGAGAAAAAAGAAAAGGTCCGCCCCCCGCAACCTCCCCCCCCCCTCCCCTAAAATCCGCTCCTGGTTGACTGGTGAAAAAAGTATGTATCACCATCTCTATTTGAAATGGTTTATTCATTTTGCTATGCTCATGACTTGGCCAAACTTTTTCCGTAAGCTAAAAAAGAATCAGTCTTGAAATGTTTGCACATTTCTAATGTATAATTAATTTTCAAAATAAAAAAATTTTTCTAACAAAAAAAAATTACGATTTCGACGACGCAGTCCTGTCGTATGAGATGTCTACCCTCACAGTCCGAGAAGTAGAGCGACAGTCCCTCTACAATCTGGACCAACTCCTCCAGAAGAGAGGAGTCACTGGACACCCCTGGACATCTGACTACACCGCTATTCTGCTGCTGGTCACCACTCACTGGCGTACACGAAGGGACTCCGGATGGGAGTTTGTTGCCACCGAGAAGCGACCGAGAGTCTTGGATCTGAAAAAAAAACATTTTTTTACGTCTACAAAAACCGTCACAAGTAACTGGATTTCTGTTGTTCAGAATTAGATTCAATTTTTTGGCAAGTTTTCTGGGCTCGGTAATGTTGTCTCACCATCAAGCAACAAACACCAACCATACTGGGCCTCAAAAGCCAGACTTTTCCTTTGATAAGTGGAGATTTACGCTCATTTTCCTTAACTCAAACACTTAACCACTGCTTCGTTAATTTAATTAATCGGAGGAGTTTCTTCATTAATTCATCAAACGAGGAGTTCTGATTGGCAAATCCGATTTGTGACCCACCGGCTGGTTGATGGTGGAGGCTAGACTCCTCAGCACGTTTTCAGCCTCAGATAACACCTCGTAGTCAGGGTGCATCTTGTCCATGTGTTGCAGAATATCCTGCACAACATATCAGAACGAAAGACAACTTATTAAATAGTTTGGTTAACTTATTAAACTAGGATCTACTTAACAAACCCCCCCCCCCCCCTCAACTAAAAAGTCTCCACCCCTATAAATAAAAACAATAAGTTAGCACTACAGCTAGTATCGAGAATTCAAACTTTGTTGCATTCTGATTGGTAGAAAAATCGACCATTTTGATCCGCTTAACAATCTCCCCCTTTCATGAAAATAGGGGGGAGGGGGATTGAAGAGTAGATTCAAGACCTAGCTTTAGTAGCTTGAAAATTATAAAATTATGCCCCATTTTGAAAAAGATTTCATCATCAAAACCTATACGGCTAAAATGCCAAGATAACCAGGTCTAGCGAATATTTTTTATAAGAAAAGTACACGTAGCATTGCAATTATTTTCATGAAATTATTCACAAGGTGCTTTGAAAATTCATAGACCTTTACTCATTTTAAATGAATCCGAAACAGTAAATTAAATAATGAGGTGTGAGCGCAGAGGAATTGTATGCTTGCCTTGACCAGAAGTGAGTATCTTGGGATCCTCTGGACCGGTTTGATCATCAAGTCATCCAGAGACAACTTCGCGTCATGTTTCCTTAGTAGCAACTGAAATGAAGAAAGGAAAATAAAAAGGAAGATATGATAATTTAACAACTTTTTAACCGCTACTGTCTTCTTAAGGAATGATGTTTAGGGTTGTCAAAATTTTTGCCATCTGGCCCAGACTTTTGCAATTGACCAAATATAGTTCTAGAATACGTAAGAAGAGCGAAAGAAAACTTTTATTTGCTCGGTTTGAAAATTCAGGAGCCAATTAAATTAAGAATCTGCCAATGACTAGGTACAAGTTCCAGTTTAAGAAGAAGGCAGGGTTCTCCTTAATATATCTTGCAACAACTGTGGAAGAAGCTTAAAAGAGTTGGATGAATAATGTCAAAAACATTCAAGGCTTATAAGCATGATGAAATGAACAGCTTGAAATCACCCACTTTTTGTGCGTTCTGTTTTATTGTCCAAAAATGATTTAACCTTTATTACTTGCGTGTTTAAACTAGAAATTTTTGATTGACTCTTTTTGCAATTGTTACAAATTATCCTTGAAAGTCCGCCCAAAATGGATAAACCGCCAAATTTTTTGCATCCGCAAATAACAAAAAAGATAGATACATTGAGAGATATTAAAAAGCAGATCTCAAAAATAACGAATCCGAACAACTAAATTATTAATGATTAAAATAAGCCAATTTTTTTTTCGGAAAATCAGATTACTTAATGAAAAAAGGGCCCTGCTGCAGGAACGTTATTTAGCCTAAAACTACTTAGTATTCTCGAATTTCATAAAAAAGTACAAACGTCATATTATACAGTTAATAAAAAACATCTGAAATCCTATTTACCTTTATTTTGAATGCATAATTTCCCCTGAGGCAATCAAGGTTGTCACCAACTGCAGTTATGCACAAATACGATCGTTTCAAGTTTTATTGTGAAATTTGTGTACTTTTTGTACAGAGACGTCATTTTTGGATGGAGGATTTTTTTGGAATCAATATCACTAAGAAAATTTTTTTCGTTAAAGATCGTTTTCCAAAACGCACGATTGAATTAAAACAACCTTGTGAGAACATGAACCAAGTGCTTAAGTAGCAAAATTATCAGGTCAAAATTTTTTGCACACACCCTTCAGGCCAAAAAAACCGTAACTCAAAATGAAAGTGCAGTGAAATGTGATTCGGACATAGCAATCCGTGCCGTTGAAAAACAAAAACCGAACGAGATTTTTTTCAACAGCTGAAAGTTATATGACTTTCGAAGGTATGGAACTTTTCAGTGATCGTTTTGGTTTTATTTTGAATTAAAGCTGTTATATATGAAGACCTCCTAAGAAAAAACTGAAATTTGGAATTTTGACTTTTTAAGCAACAAAATCCTAAATTTGTTATTGCTACTGTTTAAAAGAACATAAAACTCTCAAAAAATGCTGATTTCAACAGAAAATTTGAGTTTTTTGTTGTTGTTTTTTCTTTCTTGTTTTTTAAGCTTGCTCCATTAAAAAAACTCACTATTCTTCATCCTTTTTTCAAGTTTTCAATTAGGTCGGCAAGAATTGCAAACCGATTTATAATAAAATTGATACCAAAAAGTCGCCATTTTTTTCATTCAGTTTAGTTCGCAAGTTCTGGCCTAATCGTTATTGCTATGACAGGAAGCCAAAAATGTTGACAAAAAATTTTGTTGTGTTCACGATGGTTTTACATTTAGAACTCTGAACATTGCTTTAATTGTTGTGCACCAATTTCTTATTGTACCTTTTAATGAAAAATCACTGAACGGCAAACTCCCGATTCGATTTAAATCGGCAAATTTTGACTACAAATCACACAAGCGGTAGTTGACTGATCTTTATTTATTACAGACCACTTAGCTTACAGCCATCCTTGGCGATATGTTCAAGCATTCAACCACAAAACTCATGAGTCGATGCATTAACGAAAATCTTTGAAATCATGTGTGTGAAACATTTAACTAACGGATTTTTGCTACTTTAGAAATATCGACTTGAAAAATTATTTGATACTGTAAATCAAGGTATTTTAATTGCAAACCTATAGATTTTTTTTCTTCTGAAAACTTTGGACCTGTTAAAAAGTATTCTGGTGATAGGTATCAATATGTCATGCTCGACGAAACTGATATGCTCGTGTAAAACAACATATATTTTGAATTCATTTCTAAAGAAAAAAAATTGATGAAAATGATGGCGAAGAAGCTAATCAAATATAAAAAATGAGCGAATAATGATACAAATCCGAAAAATAACTGAGTGTTCTTCATCCTCTTTTCAAGCTTTCAACTAGCTCGGCAAGAACTGCAAACCTTTTTGTAAAAAATTTGATACAAAAAATTTACCATTTTTTTCATTAAGTCAAAATTATTGAAAAAAAATATATATTGTAGTTTTCATGATGGTATAACAAACAAAACTCCAAACAATGCTTTACCTATTGTGAGACAATTTTTGACTGAACTTCTTATTGAATAATTACTGAACGGCACATTATCGATTCGCTTCAAGTCTGCAAGATTTGACCCAACTAATACAACCAATAGTTGAATGAACCGTGGTAATTACAGACCAGTTAGCTTACTGCCATCCTCGGCGAAAAACTTGGTTAAACTGATTCCAATTTGAACTTTTAACCATTCATCCAAAATTCTCATGAGTCGATACATTAACGAAAGTCATTGTAATCATGCCTGAATCAATTCACTAATAATCGCGCCAAAGATATGTATTGACTTGAAAAAATATTTGATACTGTAAATCATGACATTTTAATTGCAAAGCTATATTTTATTGTTTTTTTGCAAAACGTTTGGACCTGCTAAATAGTATTCTGGTGATAGATATCAATATGACAAAACCGATAAAGGAATGATTTAATACAAACAAATTTCACGTGGTTTACGCAAGGTTCAGTGTTAGGACCGCTGCTTTCTCTGTTTTAAATTAATGATTTAAAAATGGATTGCAAGAAAATGAGTCTGTTTTGTTTGTAGACGATTCTACGTTTTTCCATATTGACTAAACGAACCTTGGTCGTTTTGTTGAAAATATAAACTCTGTAAGAACTAGTCCGAAAGGAACAACTCAAACAACACCGATTCAAAGTACCAGTAGAAAAAATTTGGAAAATTATCGTTAGCAAACTTTGGGAAAAGAAACAAAATTGAATGGTTACTGTAAGACCTGAGCTCAAAATTCAGTATTGAGCTCAAAAGAACTTGCAAATTCTTGTGGTTTTCTCTACAAGACTAGAATCTGTTTTTCAGGAAATGAATGGTAATTTTCATAAATCCATGTTACAAATGTAGTATAATAATGTATTTAGGTGTATGGCTGCATAAATAAACAAAAATCAAATCAACAAAAAATTTCAAAAAAATGAGAATAGTTTTTTCAAACAAAAACCTGAATCCGAGCCTGAACTTTTAGTATTTAAAATGTTTTGCCAACAAATTTTCAAAATTCTGTTCAAGTAAATAATCATGAGAAAAATTGAAATTAAAATCGGAACATTTCTACAGTAGTTCCCAAATAATTTTGTCATCTACTTAGTGTTGTCAGACTACTTATATGAAAAAAAAATCACAGACCACAAAATCTTTGCCAAAAAATTTGTTGCAACTATGTGCTTCGGATAAACAACAGTAATTTTTTATTTAGTTTTTTAATAAAAATCATCCGTTTTTGAGCACATTTTACTTCACCTTCCGCTTGTTGAGTAGGACTACTCTTCGGGAAACACTGCAGGTAATATTGAATGATTAAAAGTTTTGTATTTAACAGTATTTTATATCAAACTTCAAGCAATTAGTCTTTTCTTTTCAGATAGCTCTGAGATGATTCAAATGCCAGGAAAATCCAATACTTGAAAATAGGTTTCAATCAAATTTTTGTTAAAAAAATAACAGAGAAATATACACGTTTTTCTGACCGAGATAGGTTTCTTAAAAATTTTCAAAAGACAGTGAAAAAAAAAATTTAAATTTTGCACAAAGTTTGTACAACAATTTTTGGTCAGACGGGATCTGATTGCTATTTTATGATACTTAATTTAAAATAGAGAAAAACTCTCAAAATTTTTTTATGAAAGTACCACGAGACTTTGAAAACTTTGCTTGTTTGACTGCACTGCTTAATTCAAAATTTCTATGTGTATCGAATGTTATCAAAACATAAAATTTTTTATTGTGATATGAAGAAAAATGATACTGGAAAGAAGTTTTTGGTTGCACATAAAATGTAAAATGAAATTAGGCCGTTTGTTTTTTCTTCATTAACCAAGCCCGAATTTTTGTATTTAGCGGCCCAGTTCTTAATGAAATCCTAAAACCTCTCATTTTTTTCCTAGGAACAGTTTTTCTGTTTCTTCAAGTGGTTTCATCTTTAAAAATTGCAATGTGTTTTTGAATTAAGCTAGTTATGCATTTATCTTTTACATTTAACGTAGAATTCAAAAATTCAAAAACTCGAAATTAGCTGGTTGATTTTTTAAAGCGGCAAAACAATCCTCAACTCACTAATTTTTGATTTAAATACAGATATTAAGGCTAAAGGGTACATTAAATAACCAATGGCGCATATAAACAAAAAAACGACCCCATAATTTGGCTTATTTTGATGGAAAAAGATGGGAAAATAAAAACTTTGCAAGTGCTAAGCGGCACGTATGCAAGTTGCCACAACCCACCCCTTCCCCCCCCCTCCCCCAGATCATACCTCTTCATATTTGACGAAAGAAGATTTGTCCCTGGCAATCAATTTAGCTTCCACAGCTCGTCTAAAGTGGTTCACAAAGCGAGCATATGTCTCACATAACTCAGGATCTGAAAACTAAAACAAAAACAGGCATTTATAACTAACAATTATAGACTATATCAAAGTATTTAAAATCTGAGTCAGATTTAAATATCTTTTTCCTAAAAATGTTTTCTTAGCTTGCAGTCTTTGATATTATTGATCAATATGAATATGTATTGTTTAAAAAATTGAATTTCATATGAAATTAAACTTTTTGTTCTTGAAAAAAGATGTAGCGCTGATAGCAAAACAAATGGTTTACCTTTTTTTGTTAGACACGTTAGATGCTTGTTGAACTTAGTAAAAACTGAAAACTTCTTCTTGAAGAAAAAACCTACTGTTTCGAGAAGCAGTGGTCCAATTCTAGATCTGGGAGACCACAGCTGGACAGTAGTCTCCAACTTCAACAGGAATGTCTGGTGGGCCTTTAGGATATCTGGCACCTTGTAGATCATGAATCGAACCAAGTACTCCTCACACGTGTCTGGCTTGTCAAACAGGGGTTGCAGAAACTTCTACAAGGAAATCAAAAAGTGAATTATTGATAAGCGCTAGGAAGAAACCTTTTGCGGGAACCTTTTTTGAAAGTTGAAAAATTCGAGATAGCCGACCAGTAAACAGAAAGTTTAATCTTTTTTAAAACTGGCTATAACTAACAATGCTAAATTAAATATTGTCTCATCCTAAGAGTGTTTTTTAATGTATCGAAAAACATGAAAAAAATAATTAATACGCTTTATTAAATCATCAAACAACGTTATGAAGGCTAAGTTTTAAGCATAATAAAAACTAGTGCTGTTTTTTGCACCAAATTGTCTCTTTTTGAAATTTTAATCTCAATTTAGATTTGTGAGTAATATTCAATTTATTCCCGGTCGAACGGCAGTTATCAAAAGTCAAAAGTTCTCAGCTCTTCGATAGAACTCTTATAAACTCTGATAATTGACACTTGTTACCTCTGTGAGGTACTCCAATGACGCCACGTAGCTTCTCTCTGTCTCCAGCATCGTCCTCAAAATATGCGCTACAGTGTCCTGAAAATAGACACTTTTTTGTTTAAAAAAACTTAATAACTGTTGTTATTAAATAATTAATGACTTTTTAAACGGTATTTCTAAAAAAAAAAATTAAAATTTTTTTTTTTGAAAATGATATGTATATGTCTATTCTAAGTCTTATATATATATATATATATTCCGCAAAAAAACGTGGTAATGGATATGGTTTAAAACATTGGATAAAATACGGTTTTCATTAATAAACTGCCGAAAAGCCAATCGGCTGAATAACGTGAATTTTTCTAAGTTGAGTTGAGTTCGAGGCTCTATCTTAATCCTGCTATTAAGTCCTGGTCTCAAGAGGTCTATAAAAATACTTGAAATGCGAGAATACTGTTAGATTAAGTTAAAACCATCTAATTTAATTTTGGTCTGACTAGTAATGCTAGTCAGTGTTTACAATACGTATTCAGTGGTTTGTGCACGCGGATCTAGGAACTTCTCGAAGGGGGGGGGGGGTGCGGATTTTTAAAAAAAATTTTGAAAATTTTGTCGATCTTTTTTTAGGTCGACCAAATTGATTTTCCGAGGTCTTCCAAGTCACTGTAAAGAGTGTAATTCGACAAAACGCTCTGTAATTCTGGCAAATTTTTGAAAAAAGGCCAAAAACGGCGTTTTTAGGCACTTTTTGGAAATTTTTGACCAAAAAATCGCGTTTTTTTTGGCGCTCACTACCCCTTCAAAAGTAGTATATATTGTCGCCAAAGGCCACTTTAGGATATTTTTAGGGTCCGTCACCAAACGTGGATATCTCAAAATAGTACAAAGGGGGACCCTTCGCGTCGGCAGGAGGTCGAATCCCTGAAGGGGGGCCTAAATCCGCGACTGGGTTTGTGTAATGAATTCAAATTGGTTCGTAATAAATGTTTAACAATCAAATAAAAAACAAGAAGTCGCAACATAACTAAAACTTCGAAGGGGGTAGCAAAACACAATGAAACTGGCAAAAATGACGGTTATCGCTTTTGACAAGTTGAAGCTCTATTGTTGAAACCGTTTTTAAATGAATTTGATTTAGAAATTCAGCTGTTAAATTTCCTTAACGAATATACCGTGCAAAATTTATACTTTAAATGTTACGTTTTTAAGCTAATTGTTTAGTCAGGCTAGGTTGACTTGGTCTTTTGTCTTTTTAGGGGGGAGGATGTTAACTTGATCCGTTTAGTCTTATAAAGAAAGAAAAAAATTATTTCTTCAATATCATGTTACAGAAAAAAACTAGAACTATGCATACAAAGCTTACTTAAATATAATTATAAATATCCATGCTATTACTTAATTGAAAAGGAAAATATAGATTAAAGATGCAACTCGCCTTCTGAAAGTGTAACCGTTTAAATTGAATGGGAGCGGATTTTCAAACAAACTTTGCCATTTTTTTGTACTTCGTCGATATTGATTTTCCAAACTCTCACAGAATACACTAAAAATAAGACACCAATTTGGGAAAATTATCTGATCCACTGCTGAGTTTTTGAATACTCAGCACTTTTTGGAAAGCTTTTCATTCGTGGGGCAATGTATAAGAATCAATAGCTAGGAAACCGATTTTCAATAAAATCAAAACTGAATACTTCTTTGATATATTTCAATCTTCAAACACCTACCGTAACAAAAAACCAAGCATCTTTTTTGTTCCAACTTTCGTATTTATTATTTGTGCTCGTGGTGGTTTCTTTCTCCAGAAAAATTTCTACTGGTCAATTAGCAACTTCTGACAAACTCTTTTTAAACCACTCGAATCGTATTGATGCCCTCAGCTCAAATTAAAACAAGACTGCTCGTATCAGGGAGAAACCCTGAATGTTACGACTGCCTTTCAAGATTTATGGAGCAGTAATAACATAAATATCACTAAAAAATTGAATGTAAAAAAATAAAATAAAAAAAAAATTATAAAATTTGAAAATTTTTCTATGAAAAGTATCCCCCACAAGCCACATAAAGTGCAAAAGAAAATTTTACGCTCATTGTAACAAATAAATTAAGGCAAATAAGCTTCTTTTCTTTCGATTCATGTTAAAAGTTTGTCGAAAATGGCCAGTTAAAAAGTCGAAATTTGTCTGAAGAAAAAATTCCACCCCGAGCACAAATTTTCCGTTACTTTCGTTCCGAAAGTTGGAACAAAAAAAACTGCTCGTATCAGGGAGAAGCCCTGATAGTTCCGACTACCCTTTGAGGTCTATGAAGCAGTAATAACTTGAAAAAATAATTATATTAAGAAAACTGAGTTTCTTTTTTTTAATTAGAGATTTTTTTGTGAAAAACATCCCTTCACACGCCATATAAAGTACAAAGTGATTGATTTCGCTCCTTTTAACAGATCAATTATGGCATATAAGGATCCTTGAACCAATTTTTTGGAACGTTTTCTAAGACGGATTAAATCTCTGCCTACATGTTAATAGCGCGAAATATATCGCGCGTTAATTGTCCCAAATTGGCCGAAATGGCAATCTTTAAACCCCCATAATATTACAAAAAAGGATCACAGGTAAAATGTCTTTTCAAAATTAAGCTCAAGACAACAATACCTTTCGAATGATATAAAAAATTCCGTTTAAAATCTCTAAATAAAAAGTCGATGTGTGTCTGAAGAAAGAAAAAAACCCACCCCGATCACAAATATTCCGTTACTTTCGTTACGAAAGTTGGAACAATTACACCATTCGTGATTCTTACAACAACACTCGTGAAGCTGCTTTTATATTCAGCGCAAAAACCAAAACAAATATCCCGTATTGTACATGATTTCATATTGTTGCAAATTGTAGAGGCTTAAAAAAGTTGATTGATTTATTTCAAAGCAAAACAAAACTGCTCGTATCAGGGCGAAGCCCTGAATTCTCCGACTGCCTTTTACGGTCTATTGAGCAGTAATAACCTGATAAAATTAAATGTAATAAAACAAAACTAACATTTTTTAAAGAAAAATTGAGATTTTTTTTGTAAAACATCCCCCACACGCCATTTTAAGTACAAAGAAGAAAAATTTGCACCCATCGACAAACCACTTATGGCATATAAGCTTTATTGAACCAATTTGGAACGATTTCTAAGATGGATTAAATCTTCGCTTACGCGTTAATAGCGCGAAATATATGGGGCGTTATTTGTCCCAAATTAGCCAATATGGCAATCTTGAAACCATCATAATTTTATAAAAAATGATTACAGCTAAAATAATTTTTCAAATTTAAGTCGAAGACAACAATAGCTTCCGAATGATATTTTAAAACTCCGTCAAAAATATCTAGTTAAAAAGTCGAAAATTGTCGGAAGGAGAAAACCCACCCCGAGCACAAATATTCCGTTACTTTCGTTACAAAAGTCAGAACAATAACGAAAACTTATGCAGGAGGGGAGTTGCTTTTCCAATTCAAAACACTTTCAAAAACCAAGAACAGCTAGCTATATTCAATTCAATTTAGCTGAAATTCTTTTTCTTTCACGCCCTGATTTCAGACTTTATCGTATAAGCTCCTATCCAATTATTTTTAATGAAAGCATAAACATAGAATAATTCAGCTCGGTTCATTGATTTACTCTCAAATAAGTATTCCAAAATCAATTGAAGATGGCTAATTAGTGACAATCTATCCCTTGCTAACTTTAAAATCTATCGCCTCGAAGTAAACATCGTTAGTGTTGGGGGTGAACACAATGCAGATTTTAATTTTCTCCTATTTTAAAAATAAATTTTTTGATCTATCTGAAAAGTAAAAACAAGCAGTTTTGTTCTGCATTATTCGTTGCTACAGACAAATATTTATGGCTCTTTTTCCTTTCCCGCCATCAATTTTATGGTGTAACCAGGGATTTTTCAAGGTTAAACATGAAGACCAAATATATTTGTCATGGCCTACTTAGTTCGCATGCCAATTTTCGTAACATTCGGAAAATTTGAACAAAGTTTCAGCGGTAAAAATTTGCAGGAGGGTGAAAAAGAAAAAAGAGTCAAATTTTGGCTCTTTTCTAGTTCCCGCCCTTTCAAAATACCGAGTTTTATGTTTGTTTTACGTGTTATCACGGCTAAATGCGTGATGTTACGCTGTACAGTATGAAGAACAAATTTGTTCACAATTGTCGATTTGTTCACCACACCAAATTTCATTGCAATATTCCAATGTATTTATATAAGCTTTTCGAAATTGATTTTGAAAGGGGGGAAACTGAAAAAGAGCCCAAATTTTAGTGACTATTCGTCACCATAACAATTCAAATAGTGGCTCTTTTTCCTTCCCCTCACCTGTAAAGTTATTGTTTTCTTTGTCCGATCATGAAAATTGGCATGTGGACTAATTAGGCTGGGTCAATTAGATTTATTCATTATAATTATAATAATTATAATCCATTTACATAAGTTGTTTCTGAGTCGCAAAAAATATAATTGATCATGGATGGGACAATTTTTATCTATTGATTCTTTTAATTTGTATAGTTCGTGTAAACTATTGACTTTTTATACAGAAAATGCGTTTCTATTTTTTGAAAATCTTTTTCGTGTGATTTGTCTTTGTTTTTTTATAATTTTCCTTTTTATTATTTGTCGTTTTGTTCTAATGTATCCAACTGTTTGTGTATGAGGTGTGATTACAAGATCGTTATTTTTTGTTTTCTATTTCACAGTTGTGTAAAACGATTGTTTTTTTAATTCCTAAATTTTTGAATGACATAAGGTTTAGGATGAGGGATGCAAGAAGTTTCTATTTCCTTAGACTGTTAGTCCTTACGATTTTTTGGTTAGCTTAACCTGGGTCTTTTTGTTCAGGTTTGGAGAGAAAAGTATATCGATTCCGAAGAATGAATTTTTACTTTCTCGTGGCTAGTCTAAGCTAAGGTGTTAACTTACTTAATCTTACTTAGGGGTAGTGATTGTGTTCAAGGGTTGGAGAATAGTAAATCGATCCACAAAGTTCAGGTATAATTAGAACGCAAGTAGTTCGTTAGATATTATTTTAAACTTACTGAGTCTAAGATCTATC